GTTTGCATGCAGCGGCAGCTGCAGCCACCATCCACCACCCCGCACCACTGCTCCACATTCGGCGTCATGCCCCCCAAATCCCCCACATCTGGCTCCCAGGGGTACACTTATTAAAAAAAGGATGAAAACCCCTGTCTTATGCAAAGAAAGCAGGCTGCATGACAAAGCATATTAGCTCATTCAGCAGGGTGCAGAGCTGCTTTCATGCTGATGCAACATCTTGCGTGTTGGATAATTTCTTATTCACTCCATTTCCAGCAGCAGGAGCTGTGAATAGGGATGGAGGCTCACTGGGATCTCTTTTCCGCTACCAGCACTCACTAACTGATATGACAGAAAGGATTTCAAGTAAATAGGTCCCAGCTTTGACTTCTTTCAGAGCTGTCAGCTTGGAGCCTGGTGTTAAACTTGCTTTCTCCTTTATCATTCCCCTGGCTACCACTTGTGTAGCTGAGGAGAATCTATTGCATTGCTTTCCCACTGAGATACCGAAGAGGCAAAGCACGTGTGGAGAGCCTTTCCCCCATTCATTCTCCATGGCAATTTTGTCACAATATAAATGGGTCTTGGGCTGGGCAGAGACACTAAGGCATTATAAAACTAGTGACCCTTTCCTTTTGGGAAGTATCTGTGGCTATGAACCATTAGTAACAAACTTACTGGGGAGATATTGTCCTAAGAACTGTTTAGGACTACACTTCAGCAATGCCTTTATGGTAAGACTTTGCCCAATACAAATGTTATCCTACTGCCAGGAACCCAAGTCAATCAGACAAGAATAGTAGATTTATTTCTGAATCTAATCTTACAGTCCTTAATCAATCAACATTCCCATTGACTTCAGGAGTTTTGTATGAATAAGGTCTGAATGCAAAATGTTGGAACTGGCCCATGGATATCAATTAAAAAAATAAGCACATTCTAATCATCTGTTCAATCAGTTACTGAACAACTTCCTTAGGATATAATGGTGTCACCCTATAAAGCAATCCCTATCCATATCCTTCACTATGCAAGCAATCTATTTTTGTAAAAAAAGAATACAATTAAGATGAATGTTCTCTTCCATGTCCTCTTGCTCTTCTCATTTTTCTGTGCCTAACAGAAGACATCTTGAAATCAGAGGCTGCTCTTTAAAATATATCAATTGTTGTTATAAAAAAAGATGGAAAATGGCTGAAAAAGTTAATTTATTACAGCCTCCTGTGAGACTGATAAATATTTGGGAGTTACACAGTATACTTATAGCATAAAATGTAACAGTCTTCTTACAGTTTGACAGCAAATTAAGTATACTTTATAGCCATCATGATCAGCAACAATCCCTCAATTTGAGGGTGATCTTGAACTGAGAATGGGAATGATGACTGCATTGAAACCTGGATCTTGGTATCTTTCCGGAGATTGCAAGCAATAAAAACACACTGATGGAATTTCCCAAAGAAGGCATTTTGACACTGGCTTCTGTGCTGGATGTCCACATCAGTGTTCGCTTTTTGAGAGAGGTAGCTACTGAGATCAGGCAAGATCTTGACTACCTCCCAGATCTTTGCCTCAGTGATAATTTGAGAAGACAGGTCATATTCTTGGCCTGGAGCAGGCTGATAGAGCACTTTAATCTTCTCAGTGTTGAGAGAGAGGCTCAGAGTAGGCTTCTGAAAAGAAATTTAGTGCAGTCTGGAGGTTCTCCTCAGTGGGCACATCTACATGTGCAAATAATCCAGGAGCATTTTACTCCAGAGTAAACTACTCTAGAGTAAACTCTCCTGGCCATGCATTTACACATGCAGGGACATGGGAGAATATTTGCTGCTCCTGCTCCCTGTGGCCCTGCACCGGGCTCCTGCCTCCACCAGGGGGTGCTGGAGGCTCTGGCCGCAGATGACTGCAGATAGCAGCCATCTTTAAAAGGCAGCCCTGCATGCTGCTCCCTGGTCAGCTGCTTTTCTGGCTGGGAGCAGCATGCAGAGTGTGGATACAGCATGAGATGGCTCTCCTGTTTCAGCTTCTCCCTCCATGTGCCATGGCTGTTCCAGCCTCTGCCCCAGTAGTGATGTCTACCACCCTGAGCTCCTGCTGGCCATGGTGCTGGCCCTGCTGGCCCTGGCAGGCCCCCTGCAAGGTGGACACCCATCAGCAGGGGCCAGGGTGCTAGGAAAGGTGCTAGCCAACCACCTCCTCCTGCACTCCTCTGTTGCAGCCTGCCTGGACAGCCATCCATAGGCCTTGGCCCCACTGCACACCTGAGAACCATGCTCATGGTGGACAGTTCTCCAAAAGTAGTTTATTCCCTTCCACAGACACAGATCCCCTTCCTCCCTCCTTTCCCAACAAGAGACCCTGTCCCTCCTTTCCCATTGCTGGTGGGCCTGGGAAGCTGCCTGCAGTGCCCAGCACAGGGTCATGGCATGGGACAAACAGGCATGTGGGGCTGCAATGCCAGGCACCAGGGGCAGGGTCCAGGCAGGCTGCTGTGGATTGTCTGGGGCTTGCTGCCATGGAACCAGGAAGCCACAAGTTGGCTGCAGGTGAATCCAGGTCTTTCCAGGCCTGGCATGTGTCTGCAGTAATGGCCCTAGCAGTTGTGTGGTGATGCAGTGCCAGGACCTGATGTGCAGGCAGGCTGTTGCACCTGCCCTGGGACCTGTCCTGGGGGATGCAGTGGCCACAGGCTGCCAGAAAGTGTCCCAGGGCCCCTGCATCATCTCAGGCTTTTAAGGGCCTGGTTCTGGGACAGGTATAGAGCCCATCCAGTCCTGGAGCAGGAGAGGCTCCCAGCCTTGAGGCCCTGAGTCTAGCCTGAGGCTAGCCCCCTCGCAGTGGGGCTGACTGAGAGCAAATTTGCTCCCACTCAGTGTCTACACATGCACTACTGTGCAGTAACTAATTGTGAGTAAATTTGCTACTTGCATTTGCAGATACCAAATTTACTCAAGAGTAGAGCAATTTACTGTGCAGTAAAAGCATCTGCAAGGATAGACATGGATGCTTACTGCACAATAATTTTCTTTACTGAGCATGAAAGCATCTTGTGTAGATGTGCCCAGCATTCAGAAGGACGAGGCAGTTGTCAGTATATTGAAGGTCAAGGATAGTTGTTTTGGATTCTCTGGTCTTCAAATGAAAATATCCTAGACCGAAGAGCCCTCCATCTGTTCAGTATTCAGTGTTGATTCTGAAAGGGAGGTAGTCCATAACAAAAACCAGGATGGCAGCTAAAAAATGGAGAACATAATTGGGGAGATGATGTATCCTTGCTTGTTCCCAGTTCAGATGACAAATGGATCTGTGTCCAATCCATTAAAAAGAACAGTCACAGTCAGTTCGTTGTGGAGAAGCCCCAGGACCATGATGCATTTTTCCAAGCTGATCATTTCTCCTTTTCTGGGTGGGCCTAAACCTTTAGGACCTTATTCTTATGAATATAATACTTAGTAACTATTACCTCCTAAATCTGTTTATAAGAAAAGCTAATAGTCATGACAGAGATATAGGACATTACAGAGACACATTTGTTATAATGTACAGTGAGAGACATTAGTGTTTAGGATATAATCTACCACATTCTCAATTTAATTGAGCAAAGTATTGGGAAAGAACCCCAAAACATTCATTTTATTTTCATTAGGGCCATTTAGAGTATATCCAGCCAGGAAGAGAAAGATTTGGCTCATTTATGGTTTGCACTAAACATTTACATGTTTGTCAGTGTCCCTTTAGGGACTGATCTTAAACCACCAGAACTTTTAGTTTTTCCTAAGCATTTTAAATATATGAGAAGAATGGCCTAATGCAAAGAACACTCCATTGGGGCTCACAAAACTTTCTTGGTTGTTGTTCTTCATCTACCAAATGTGGATAATAATATTGACATACTTTTAAAACACTTAAGAGAGTTATGAATGAAAAGTGATAAGTATGAATGACAGTATTTTTTTAAACACAGAAGCCCCAAGAGGCCATACTTAAGATAGTACCAGATGGTACCCAAACACATAGGCTGTATACAGATATTTGGGGAGGTTAGAGGGAGGTTAGATTGGGTGGGATTTAGAAGGGTGGGCAGGATGGGGGGCTAAATATAGCCCCTAGTCCTGGGTGGTAGGAGAGGGAGCCTCCATATCCCCCCTGTGGACTCCACGAGTCCCCCCTGATCCTGCCAAACTCTCCCAGACTCTCCCAACCCCCATTTACCCCCAAGCCTCCCATTGGATGCCTCCTGCCCCCAATTCCCCTGATCCCTCCTGTAGACCCTGCCTTCCCCTGAAATCCCTACCATGAACACAGCTTGCCCCACTGATCCCTGATCCGCATCCAGACCACCTCACCCTCTCTGAGCCTGCTTGCCTCTCTGATTCCCCCAGCCCCCTGTGGTAGCCCCCACACCCCAACTTACATTAGATTGGGTGGGCATTTTTAACTCGATCTAACCCCCACCCCAGAACTTCACCAAATGTCTGTATGCAGACATAGTTATCATCTCTGCCCAAGATCACAAAATCAGTGGTAAAGATACAATGGAACTCAGACCTTCATATTTCCTGTCCAGTGCCCCAAATATTAGGTCAACCTTCTCTTAAGTAAAGTACTAGCAGCTATTATCTTTATTATTATCACCTTCTTCATTTAATCCTTTGTGTGACAATAATACATCAATCCTTACCTTGGTGTCATTATTACACTGTGGTTTTCTGCTTCAGTGATTTTTACAAATGAATCACCTCCAATGGATGACTTGGTTGATGATGTATTCACATTCCTATGAAGAAAAAAAAATAAAATAAAATAAGATTTTCAGATGTTTGTTCTGTTTCTCTAAATGAAAATTGTTTCAGAAACAATTATGTCACTAGCATGCATTTCCTGAAATACTAGGCACATCTACACATGAATTTATGCATGCATAAACTTAATGCCCCTTAACCTAAGGTGTGTGTCTACATGTGGATGCCTTAAGGCACCTTAACATGGCTTTGCAGCCTGCCCTAGTCAGCACCCTGGACAGCTTCCCTTATGGCCAATTCTAATTTGTTCCCTTGTTCCTTCTTTCCTAGCAAATGAAAGCAGCGCTGCCAAGAAGTAAAAGTGGCGGGGGGGGGGGGAGTGGGGCGGAAACGGGGCGGGTGCTGTTGCAGCCACTAGCATCTCTCCCACCCTGAGGCAGAGGCACAGGGTTGCAAGAGCCCAGCTTCCCTGCTGACAGGACGCTCCAGGGGGCTCTGCTTGGCTCAGCCTGGGCAGGCTGGGTGCAACACAGATGGGGGCTTGTTGCCCAGCCTGCCCTTGCTGAGCCGAGCAGAGCCCCCAGGAGTGTCCTGCCATCAGGGAAGCTAGGTGCTTGCCTAAAATGGAGGTGGCTGGACCAGGGAGAGCCACGCTAAGTGCTGGGGTCAGATGCAGCCCCAGCTGCCTGGGGCTCAGGTGGGAGCCCCAGCACCGACTTCTAAGGGTGCCTGAATCCTGGGCAGGTAGCAAGGAATCCTGCCACTGCAGGGGTGGCATTGCCTAGCCAGCAACCCCATGCATCTGCCTTGGGGCAGAGATGCTAGCAGCTGCAAAAGCACCCAACACTTTTACTTTTTGGTGGTGTCAGGTGGCAGTGTGTGGCCCTGCAGGCTCAGCTGTGGCCAACACAGCTGACATAGTGTTAAAGTGCCATACCATGTCTACATGTGGGTTATGGTGAGTGAACTAATCAGGCCTAAATTTGATACTTGCTTTATGCAGGTATCAAATTTAGTGCCAAATCAACCTAAGTTGCCATATTTAAGGCAAATTAAGAATGGGCACATGTAGACCCATCTTTAATATGTCTTAAATATGGCAACTAATGCAACATTAACGGTCTTACTTCACCTTATAGGTGCATGCGTAGATATGCCCACTGAGTCTTTTTATATTTGGTCCTGTTTCTAGTTGCATGCACATTCAAACACCAGACAGTTCTCTTTTAATTGCCTAAAAATGAAATTCACGATTGAAATATGCCTGTTCTATGAGCCATTTTTTCTATGCAGTTCTATTTTTCTCAGGCAGTCTTCCTATAATGACACACTATGCACTTTAAAAATTGTATTCTATCAGTTACTTGGCCTTCCAGGCAGTCACAGGAGACTAAGAGTCATGGCAAGATATACTGAATCAAATTCTGCCCTGAACTGCAAATGGTACATTCTCCTTGCTTGACTCGTAAAAGATCCCAAAGTGCCACAAAGAAACTCCACTGAGTTTTTGATTGTTTTCATTAGTGAACACAGCGTGTTTTTACCAATATAAAATATGACCAGTTGAAGTTATGAGTATGGGCATTTACTTACATTATTGACCTGTATCCTATTTGACCTTTTAGATCATGATTCCTTGAAACATTTATTTTTAATTAGATTGGTTTAAGAGATTCTGCAATAGGACCTATTCTGTCATTCCTTCAATGGTCACAAAATATGCACCAAAAACATTTTTAATATCTACTCTGCTTCTCAAAGTAAGTCAGGTAGAGATGCCTATTCCCCCTCTCACTTTTCTGCCTTTCAGGTACCAAACCAGTAGATTATTCCCTTCAACTTTTCTCTAGTTCCTATGTTAAACAAATACTTTCTTCACTCCCTGAAATCAAGTTTAAGCCAATTCTTTGAGTCAGAATTCAATTATTTTTCTTGAGTTAATGGACATTATAACAAGTTAGATGACTGCATATTCTTTAGATTATCTTATTGAAACATATATACATATTTTGCTGATTCCAAAAACCTAGAAATGGATATGAAACCAGGCACATCCTGATCCATAGTCTGTTGAACATCCACTGATGCATTAAAAAGTAATTATGGCATACTATTTTATTTCATTAGTCCTAAAAAAAGACAAGAAAACAACTGGCTGTCTTGGAAATTTGCTGCTCTACTAATGTCTCACTGTGTAGATTCAGGACCTCATTTTCTCAGCTTCTTTAAATTCATTGATTCAAGATGAATGAACATATCTAGGACAGACAAGATGTAGATCATATGTGCTCAGAAAGTTTTCATAGTATTCTTCTGAAGAAATTCTTTTATTGTGCTCTTGAGCTCTGATCAGTACTCAGAAACTACAGACAATTCTTTAAATAAAGAAGAAAAGCCATAATTATGTAAAATTATGACTGCTTTTATATTCTACTTTAAAAATATAATTCATTAATATAATGGACCACATCCAGATGTAAGCAGACTTTTGTAAGTTTCTAAAATTGTGACTACGTGCTTACCTATTGAAGAAAGTGTTCAGGGTTAGTGTGGGACTGAGTGGGGAGAGGGGGCTCTTTTATTTAATTCTCTGCTTTTCTGACACAGGCTTGATGTGCAATTTTGGAAAAATCAGTGAAGATATATCTATATGACTTCCCTCTTGATCCTGGGTCTGCCCAATCCACCCACTTCTCAGGGGGCACTAGAGTACAAACTTGTAGGTAGAGTAGACTGGTCACTAGTATCCCTGAAAAGTTTAGAACAACTTCAGCATCCATCCTCTCCTCCCTCTCATGAGACAGTTGCTCTTAAGCTCTATAGAAGCTACTTGCTGGTCTTAAGCTCTTCAGACGATTTCTGGTCTCTGATTTTGGTTTCGTTTTTTTGTTGCAAGACCCAGAGTTGGAAAGAAAGTAGCATAAACATAATTCTAACTTTTCTATGCCTGTGGGTGTGTCTACATGAGATTCTTTACTGCATAGTAGGCTAATGTACTGTGCAGTAAAGCATCACTAAGTAACTGTACTAATAAGATACTATGAAGTATATTAGGCTACTGTGCAGTTAGTTTAGTAGATACTGTGCAGTAGGGCTTGTGCAGATGCTGACCGGGAACAAATCTGCTCTAGGTCAGCCACACCAGCAGGTGTCCTGGTCCTGGCACTGGTCAGCTCCTAGCTCGCACAGGAACTGGGAGCCAATCAGGACAGCAACCAGATCCATCTTTGCTCCCTCCTATCCCAGCATTGTGGGGTTCCTGGCTTCCCACAGGGGCAGGTTGCTGAGCAGCACTGAGACTGGAGATCTATCAGTGGGGCAGCTAGCAATGAGCCCCCATCTGGGTGGGGAATCACTGCTCAGCCAGAGATGGCAAGGAGCTGTCCCACCAAAGGGGCAGCTAGCAGTGAGCCCCTGCCCGGTGGGGAATGCAGTCCAACTGGGGACACTTTGCTAGCTGCCCCACTGGTGGATCAGGGCAGGGAGCTGGGAAACAGCTTGGGGGGTGGGTGG